TTCTCGAAAATGATAACTATATTCTCAACATACAAATGCAATTAGTTAATAAGGAAATCACTATAGAGTGTGCATTAGAAAAGCTACGAAGTTAATTAGGCGATTTTTAAATTGTTTATGCGAACCAAGCATTTGACACAATATCTATTAATTTAAACTAGAGTATTCACCTCTGGGGTAAAATTTGTTTTCTATCTCTTATTAAATTGTTGCATTACCAAAACAGTTTTCTTTCTTGTCTTGCCCTGAATATGTTTAATTTTATCAATTTTAACATTTAGTTTTTGAATTATTTAGAATCCTTATTACTTGTATTTCACGAAATAGGTGAACTACGGGTACATTATTTTGAATTATCTATGTGTAAATAAACAATGTACATTGTACACTTACTGATAAGTTATGTTTTTGTTGATTAGTTAGTAAGAATAATGGATGGCTCAATAAAAATATTTTGATATTTTGATTTTGAATTATTTTGAATAGCAGAACACCTAGGTGAACCAGGGGCACAAGAAGTTAACCATGGAAAACCTAGGTGTACCACTTTGGTGTTCCACGGGTCAGAAAGTATATATTTATACCCTATTACTGTACTGAAGACACAAAAAAGATACAAATAAATGTCAGAAGCCTGACATGAATTCTGCAGATTACGAACAAGCCAAATCTTGTTTTTTGGAGAGTCTACAAAAACAAGCTACAATGCGTCATGAAAATGAGCGCGAAACAATACTCCAAGCAGAAAGCGCACTCTGGCTTGAAATACTTAGGTATAATGTGGATAATATTATGGCATCAGTTAAACACAGCAAAGAAAACGAGGCAAAAGCTATTGAACAACTAAGTCGCCAAGAGAACATAGCCATCGAGAAATGTGGGTTGTTTATTGACAAATCCCTTTTCTTCCTGGACGCATCACAGGACGGAATATATGAAGATGTGACATCGAAATAAAGTACCCTCTTTCTATTTTTGTTATCGATCTAGATATTGCTATTCAGCAAAAAAAACTTTACTTTAAATTACTACATATCGCTAACAAGAATGTGTGTTTTTGTCTGCTGTGTGGACTGGCTGTGAATTTAATATAAAAGTCATCAAAGTTTTCAGAGACGATAATTTCTGGGAACAAAAGATATGTAGTTCGACGGACGATTAACACAATTTTATTTTGATTGTGTTCTCCCAGAAATTATAGATCTAAGAAAAAGTCGATTGATGAATAAAATTGAAATACTTTTATAAAACGTCAACTAAGTTATTTAGGTAGGTACTTTTTTATGTGACAAGAGGCAAACGAGCAGACGGATCACCTGATGGTAAGTGATTACCGTCGATCATAGACACCCGCAGTCCCAGGGGCGTTACAGGTGCGTTGCCGGCCTATAAGATGTGGAGCCTATTGTCTGTAAGGCCTCTTCTTGAGTTTGGTCGTATCGGTCCGGAACCACCGTAGATGACAGTCCGTTCCACAGTTTGGTTGTACGGGGCAGGAAGTTTCTAGAGAAACATACTGTTGTGAACTGCTTCTAAGTCATTGGTTCCCAAAGTGGGGGGCGCGGGCACAGATTTTTAAAGAGGGGCGCGGGCAATTTGTCGGCCATTCTCAGATGAGCTAGTTTTTGCGTGTCCGGGCTGTTAAATCGTTAAAAATGACAATATATGTTACTTAACAACCCTATCCAGTTGTGCATTAAATCATAGGCCTCTATTTTAAGTATTTGTGACTTAATTAATTTCATTAACCTCTGTTCTCTAATTACCGTTACGCGTCCGCACACCGACTTAATGTTAAAAGTTGGCTGTAATTTTTATGTCGTATAGATTTGGTTCTCTGCATTCAACATTTTAAAGAGTACAAAAGATTGTCTTATGCATAGCAAAATATCTATTCAATAGAACCATTCTGTAAATAATTAGAATTAAAAAACTGCTTGTCCGAGCGAAAGTCCTAATTCCCGTGACGTTTTCTGTTTTTGGGCACACAAGCCTAAATAATAATATTTGACACATCATTTACGCGCGCGGCGCGAGCCCTTAGTTAGTTCTAAGACCTGTTAGCAAGTAGACGTCTATTGCGTTGGCGTACCGTCGATGAATTGCGTAAGAGTATAATTACCATATCTTTGGTTTTCAATTTTTCTATTTACCATGCCCTTATTTTTATATTCGATTTTTGAAGGTAGATCCAGTACTTTGGCCTTCATACGTTGTAGTAAGACAGCATTTGCATACGTTGCAGATTGTGGAAATTTTGAAGAAAAACTATCGTTTTATAATTTCCATGTACTAATTACCATATATTTATAATCACCGTTGTATGAAATTATTACCTACAAATTGCACTCACGATTGAATAAGTATGATGATAAAATATGAAATATACCTAGACTTTCCCATAACAACTTTACGGACTTTTCTTCCAATCTGACATCAAAATTATGAAAAGCTTTCGTTAGAGTAACCTCGAAATAGATTCGATTTCATGACGAATGTTCAGCTTCAGTTGCTGCATGGTTGTTGGATTTTAGAGTATATTTCAACCTCTAAGGTAGAAAAAGCTAACAAAAAGAAGTTAGCTGGAGTGAAATCGGGGCTTTTCGATGGCCAGTAGATGTCACAGTGTACCAGACACTTAATTTACTATTAATAATTCATTGATATTTACATGTTAAATCATTAATTATTTCTAATATAATACCATTAAAATCTATCCATATTACCTTTGCCCTAAGAAGATGAGATTGTCCAACATGAACACTTACCTGGCGTGATTACATTAAGAACAAAAGGGAACAAATCAACAGACAATGGGACTTTTCAAGACAAGAGTGTATAGGCACTTTGCACCATCTTAGACTGCATCCTAACTGATTTCTTATGCATAGAAAAAACTTCGTGATATGCAATGGATACTGGGCAGAAGAAGCTCGGAGAACAAACTATATACAAATGCATCCTAAGACCCATGTAGACATATGGCATCGACTTAGCCTCGCAAATGTAGAAATACTTTAACGTTTTCAAAATAAAGTATTAAAAATCTTGAGCTGTGCACCTTGGTTTACAAAGTCCACTGAAGTGATACCAAACGTCAAAGAGGGTGTAGAAAATTCCTGTAAAGCTTACAAACAAAGACTAGACCGTCATGAAATCTATTTACTGCATCCCTTCTAAATTCTGAGAATTCTGCATTCAGGCTCAGGAGAAAGCGAATAGCATGAATCTGAAAACTTGTTGTAAAAGAATCGAGGTGACAAATCATGGGATATGCAGAGCTGGAACTGTCATTATTACAAATTTAATTTAATCTGATAATGGCTGATGGCTGATCGCAGATAGATTAAAAAGAGGAAAAATCACTTATATCATTAATAACTTTTTCGATGTATGCATATCCGAAAAGTCTAATTCGTGAGACCTCCTGATCCATTAATTATCTGTACGTTAAATCGTTTGTACCACATTTAAATCAAATAAATTATGATTAAGATTCTGATTCAGCTAAATGCTCTCATTTGAAATGTGACACGTATCCCCTTTTTGCTGAAACTAAGTGTTCCTGTTATAGCCTAGATTCTTGCAGTATACTTAAAATATCTTGATACAATAAATAATAGAAATTAGTGTTTTTCTTTTTCAAAGGGTTTGTTAAGTGTACCTACAGCTTTTTTTTATGACGTTTATATTTGTATACAAATTTATCAATGCAAGATGATGATTTTTGCTATTTAACATATATTTTCTAATTACCGTTAGATTAAGTATTAGCCTTATCTAATTACCGTGACCATAAAATTTTTGGATCTCATTTACGCGAAAACCGCTTTGAATGACGCCTTTACGATTGTTAAATTCGTACTTTTCATGTGTTTTATATTTAAATGCATTTAAGTCAATCAAGCCAAATTTCAAAAATGATATGGTAATTAGGCTGAGAACGCCTGATCGTGAGAATGACCGTTGTGTACTTATGCCTGCGACCGCTGAGAGAATGCATTCCAGACTGCTCGATACGACCATTAAATAATCTTGACTGGAGGAAGGGGGATCTGAAATCAGCACTCCTAAAATGCATAATATTAGTCATCTGGTTTCCACCAGAGCCCAAAGAAACGGAGCCGCGAGTTATTGTCCTAGTTGGACATTCGTATAACAGGACCCCCAGCCCGCCGTAGCGGGTTACGGTCTGCTCCATGCCGCTGCTTAGTCAGCTCTGCTGATCAGAGAAGTACCGAGAGCGGCCCTCCAAAGAATGGGCCCTGCATCGTGGCCCGGGCAAATGCCTCGACGGCCCCCGGTCCTTTTGACGAGACCTGCCGCGCAAGTGAGAAGTTAGCCGCCCGCGTGAACAGACAACGCGGACGTTGCCCAGGGTGCACCACGAGGTGGTCCCTTTATTTTATTCCTCAAAAATAAATAACACAATAAAAAATTGTTTTCCACTTTGGAAAGGAAAAATTCCAAGGGACCGAAAGCTTTTATTAATGAATCGACATCTGTAACTGTGGTCGTGGCGTGACATTCTCATTTTTCAATGATACTTAGTTAATAAACTTTAATTTTGAACACAATGTAATATGGGCATCTTAATTCATTATTTTATTTTGATTTCCAAAAAAAAGTTCTTATTGAAAACCCTGTTTTATTAAAATTAAAAAGTTATTTATTTATCATAATTATGTATAATGAATAAGTTTATTTACCAAAAACGCTTATACGATAGGCGATAAACATAAACAAGCCCATCCCGTGTTTCAAATACATGTGCTTACAAGTCGGTCACTAGGTCGTCTGTGACATAGCGTTCAACAAGCCTAATTAAAGTTTTGAAGGGGTTTCCCGCTGATGCATCAAGTTCAATGCATTTGTTGGGGACACTCGCGCCTGCGCTGTGACGTTGCGCGTACAAGGGAGGGTTGACATGCGCAATGCGATCGCACTCATCTGGTTCCATTGACTACGGTCGATATAGTTGCGGGGACCATTCGCGCATGCGACACTGTCTCCGCCGACAATCAGGTGTAAAAGCGACATGGCCGATAGCGAGTTCGAAGAATTTCGTCGAGTATTCGACAGATTACCCCAGCACATAAAAGCTCCCACTCCGTTTTACTCGTAAGTACATTTTACGCAATGTTTTTATATGTGAATACCCCGCGCCGGTTGATTCACCTGAAAACAATAATGTCGGGGTGCATTTGTCACGTGAGCAAAATTGGATTCTATCTGAGTGACGTGTTTTATTCATTCACCAGTTCATTGGCATCACTAATGGAAGGTTTTCTCTTGATCGATACAGGTTAGTGCCAAATGTGGGTTTGGATGATGAATCACCGTCATCAAAAAGTGACGGCTCGCCTGAGGAGGACAGAGGATGTATGGGCGACAATGAAACGGCAGCCTCAGCACAAGAAGAAATTGTCTCTCCACCACCACAACCCGACGTAATTGAAACACAACGGAGCCCGAGTCATCAAACATTCACAAATGGCCAAAGACGAAGGAGAAAATTACCCGAAATACCAAAGGACAAAAGATGTTAGTACCATCTGTTTATTAAATATAGATACTAGTACGCCACTATGAAAGTTCAATATCACAGGTAAAGGTCGCCAGACAGTTAATATAAGTCTGCGCCTATATTTGACTCTCTATTTTTAAACTGCAACTGCGCTCTCGCGACTGACTTTTCCTATAATATTGTTTATCACTTTTTATATTGCCGGAGCGAAAATTTTTTTGTTTCTGTTGAAGGTAGGTATATCCTATATTGTATGATTAGAATTTTCACGAAATTGATCTGATAACATGATACACAGTTACAGACGTCAAATAATGTAGTTATCATTGCTCTCTGTAACAAATAAATCACAAATATTTCTTTTAATTATACTTACTTCTATATTTATTTTAAATTTTAATAATCATATTTCTCATTTAAACCTACATACATATACAGGGTGGAATTTTATAATGCCACCTGGAGGGAAAGTAATTTTAATACTGTAGATAAAAAATTTACTGAAAGAAAACATTCCTTTATTTTTGAAAAGAAATAGAACTGCATTCAAAGATTTTCGAATTTTTTTTCGAAAATTCAATACCATACTACAATTTTCTGTACATAATTAAAATCATTTAAGATTTCATGGTTTTCCTTTCCTTTGAATTATCAAGTTTGTTAGAGAGATTTCATCCTTATACTTAACCCTAACGATCGATGTAATAAAAACACAGGGTGTAATTTTTAACAGACTTTATTTGGTTCGATTCCCGGGTGCGGTAAGCAAATTTTTGGAAATATTTGAATGCAGTTCTATGTCTTTTCAAAAATAAAGGAATGTTTTCTTTGAGAATTTTTTTCAATCTACAATATTAAGAGTACTTTCCCTCCAGGTGACATTACAAAATTCCACCCTGTATTTTTTAAAATAAAATAATCAATTTCATTTCAAAAGTCCAAATCTATAAAAGAAATTTAATTATTTTTTCTACAACAAAAAACTTTTATTACAAATTTTTTTACGAACTTTAGGGATTCGTTCACAATGTCTGAGTAATATGTAAAAGTAGGCTACTCGTTGCTTAAAGTCACAAGTAGCAACGAGACCATGACAAAGAGTTTGAAGCTAGAATACTGTATTGTTATTATTAAATATTTATTGAGAAGTATCTTTACTCGGAGATCATGAGAGACGCCCTTTTGATAATTTAGATATTTAAAATTATTTCAAAAATAATACGTAACAATAGTGATGGTCTTTTAATTAACGAAAACGGTACCTTCTAAAATTCTAAATAATAGTGTTTACTTAAAAAATTGCTCATTTTTTATACGACAACTCCATTTGATTGAATACAATGAGAAAACCATAACTGACACAATAAGGAAAGAAAATCGATGATATCAGAATTCATAAATGTACATTAACGATTATAGGGCACCATTGAACATGCATGCATAGGCGACTACTACTACTCACGTTAAAGTACTGTCACCATCGGATCTTATGTAATACTGTGTTCAAAAATTGGTTACAACTTATTTAATGTTTCATTGAAGAAGAATTAATTTAGTTGTAGACGTTAAAGTTAAAATTCTAAAAACCAATCTACATTTTAATGCTTTTAAAAAGTTTTTTTGTAGTAGTTAAGTAAAGCCACGATAGGTGAAAGTTAAATGATCTTGTTGTGCCTATATTTAAAAAGAATAAATAAATATCAATGACATGCTGTGGTTCATTATATTACCATTATCATATATAAAATAGGAACAAACAAAGAAATCTTTAAGCGGTGCACGAAGAAAAATCATTTAGTATGTAGGGTTATTGGGTAGTTTTACTCAAAAAGTCCAAAAATTTGATTTTCAAACAGTGATATCTCGAGGAATTTGTGCACCATTTATTTATTGGAACTTCTTTGTTTCTGAGGCAAAAATCTATCATCATGCCCATTAAATCCGAGTTAAATCCCTAAAAAAACTGTAGGTAGATATTCAAAATATTGGGAACAAACTCATGGCAAGGCAAAGAAGTTATGAAAATATTATTTTGTATTAGAAATCAAAACTTAATCTTTAGTTCAATTACAGTTACACCAATATTGCTATAAAAAATGACAAACTTGTGCTATAAGGCTTAATAAAATATTAATTTATATTACAAAGGTCAAGTTTTGAGTAAACAAAGCTACCAAATAATATGTTATTATGCCGTAATAAAAGTTTTAGGAAACATTCCCTGAGATAAAATCTTCACAAATTCCAGCTTCTATATTAGCATGCAGCCAGCCCGCATCTCTCGCTGATGAGCTAGGAGCCCTCGCTGGAGTGCTGATCAGACCAGGATGCCAGGGCCGACCACTACTAGTGCTCAAGTGCGGGTACCTCCTTGACGAAGACTCGAGCCCTGACTCGGAGAGACTGCAGAGTCTGGGTGATGTCGACAGTGGACACAGCACAGCACACTCCCCTATCGACACGGGGCCGAAAAGTATATCACCAACGCCGTTACAACAAAATGGTTCGTATTTTGTATCATATTTTTGCAATCTAAATATGCATCTGATCCCAGCTGCGAAGGGCAGGTTAAGTAAAAAATGAGTCATCTCAGACGCCTCTATGGCGGCTCATTAAGTCTAACGCTGAAGTAGTGACCTCAATTTAACCCTCCCTCAGTCTTCACGATTGAAAAAATAATCTACTTGCACTCCTTTTATCATTTATACTTAAGGTAATTAAAACATCACAATCTCTCTTCTTAATGGATATTCTTTTTATGAAGATCTTTTAATGCAATAGACGTATTCTGCCTTCATAATCACCATCAATTCAACATAATCTAGATTTTCATATTTGTATTTTTATTTTTTTTAGTATCACCATCATCAAGTTGCAGTATCAGCGGCATTCATTTTGCGGGTAACATGACAACAGTTCCACATAACCAACTAGAAATGCTCGAAGCTACGCACAGAGGCCTACACAAGTTCAACCCTAGACATCACGATGAAATCGAAGTAGAAATTGGGGATCCCATTTATGTACAAAAGGAAGCAGATGATTTATGGTGCGAAGGTAAGAATCACAAGTAAATAAAATGTAAATACAAACAACTCACGAATATTTTATCAACTGCTCCTTTTTCACAGGTGTAAATCTCAGGACAGGCCAACAAGGAATTTTCCCGTCTGCGTATGCTGTTGACATGGACTATAACGATTTTGACCCAGCCAATGCCAAAGTGAAACGAGAGAGATATTTATTAGGGTAAGTAGTATATTATTTAATATTAGTAAGTATTTCATAAGAAACAAAACGTAACGTCATGATCCCACAAAGCGAAGCACTTCTTACAAGACCAATAAATACCCCCGTGTAACTAACTATTGGAGGCGTATCCTGGCTTCATACGGGACCCGTATCTAATGTAAGTATTATCCGACTATGATGATAGACTTTTTTAAATATCTGGATACTTTACACACACAAGCATATGGAAATCTCATTCTTTGTAACGGTAGTACAATTGATCAGGACTTTTTTTTAATCCACAACGAGGAAGCTCTTGGCCTGTATCTCACCTGATGGTAAGTGACGATCAGGCCGAAGGTGGAAGCGAGCTTCACCCGGAATCCTCAACCACGGAGGAACTGGCTATCTTACCTCTAACTGCGGAACACAATAATGCTGTTAACATTGTTGTTATGGCGACAGACTTAGGTAAGATGGTGGTAGCTAGCCAGGCGGACTTAGAACAAGCCCTACCACCAACCAAACCAAACAAAAAAATCTGCCCCCGCTGGGCATCGAACCCGGGACCTCTGCGTCTAAAGCAGGTGGTCTTACCACTAGACCACAGAGGTTTTTTTTATCCAACAACATGACAATGTAAAATTCCTAAATGACAATTTTGTATCTGTCTAATCATTGGGAATAAATTCATTCAATTTAATCTGCAATGACATTTCCGAAAGGAGTTATTATACCAGGTCAAGCTAATCTTGTCGGCAAATACCTACATTGAATGGACGAAGGGGCGTTGTGTTATTTATATCGCTTTTAATTTTAATCAAAGAGGCCACTACACGCCCTGTGACGATCGTTGCAGTTTGACGTCAAGTACCGAGAAATTACGAGTATTAACGGGAAATTGATGAATAGTGATATTAGTGGGTAACCGCATTCAGAATGGAGAGTACGGCGCGTGTCGTGTCTATGGTGGCCCTTCCAAAGATAACGTTGTGTTTGGTATAACATTGTATATCTCAAATAGTGATAGTACATTTTATACAGGGTGGAAACGATAAGTGATCTCACTTGATTATTTGTAAAACTACACAAGATATCGAAAAACTGGTTACTTCCTTATTTTGAAAGTGTTTCACGAGCTCTATCAAAAGATACTAATAATAGGTTACAGAATAAACTGGATCTATACGAAAATTCGATTTACATACAGCTGGAAAGCTATACTGTATTGTAGGTACTCGAGGTATTTATTTCTATGCTTATTATGATTCACGTTTATAAAAGAGAAGAAAATTAAATATTGATAAGGAATATTTTAGTCTTCAGGGTGTCGACTAATATGAGCCACCATTGGCATCATCTATACTTATAATATATCTGTAGAGAGGTCAATTATTCTTCATACTCCTGGGCAGGTTATAGTATACTTAGGAATTCCCTCGGGAACGGGAATAGGCGGGAAAATCATTTTGTATGAAAAATCTAAACCGCTTAAGTTAGACGCTTGAAATTTGGCATGCAAGTACCTTAGTAAACTTAAAGCTTAGTTACAACAGGATATTGAAAAATTCCTACAGGGACGGGAATTGCGGGAAAATCCTTTTGTATGACTGACTCACTGACAATATCAACGCACAGCCTAAACGGCAAAACGTAGGCACTAGAAATTTGGAAGGGACGTAGCTTAGGTACCGTAGAGGTGCATTAAGAAAGAATTTCCTGAAATTCCCATGGCAACGGGAATTACCGGGAAAATCCTTTTGTATGAAAAATCTAAACCGCGTAAGATAGATGAAGGGGGTAAAACGGGATCTACGCGTACGAAGTCGCGGGCGGCCGCTTGTGCTAAATAAAAACGTAACAGCTCAAAATTTCCCTCCGCAGAAAGAATTCTCTAATTTTTTTTTGTAAATCGGATTTATTGAAGCTTGCTAGAACGTCCTGATTTTATTGTTAACAAACATAAAGTGAAATTGCAACTGGTGTGGGAATCCAATCCAGATTCGGGTTAGAGTTCGACTGTTACACCACAAGACAACTAAATGCTTTGAACACTGTTTGAGTTACACTTTTTTTCTAGATATATGGGGTCAGTAGAAACCTTGGCTCACAAAGGAACAGGTGTGGTATGTCAAGCGGTGAAGAAGATCGTCGGCGAGTGCAGTGGAGAACCAGTCGTGCAGCCCTGTATATTGGAAGTATCAGACCAAGGCCTACGTATGGTCGACCGATCAAAGCCAGATGTAAGTGTTACATTTTTAACCTATGTTTATTAACACATTGAATATTTGAAGAATATGACCACCCCAACTCTTTCATAAATAGGCGACTAAAGGATATCATGCCTCGACACACCATCTGACTAGGGTGACGACGTAGGCCTAATCCTTCCTTTCGCGTCCGGTGAATTAGACATGTTAGGGAAAGAAGATGACCCTCATACTCCTGCAGTGGAAACCAAATATCCAGATGATAATGATGATAGTAAAATGACTGTGACCTAGTCATTATGTTCTTAACTTTGCCCAACCTTGAAACACAGCTTAGAGCACATAGTACGCAGGACTGACGGCCGATGGGGCAGCAAGGTTCTGGAAAGGAGGACATCCACCCACAAGGTGGACCAACGACCTCATAAAGATAACAGGAAGGCGCTGGATCCTAGTAAATATGTTCCTTGCGCTGGATGCAGACCACTACCAACCGGTCATTGTGGAAATCATTCCTTCATTCTCAATAGTTCGTAGTACTAATGGGACTTATTTCCCACTAGTTCTACTTTTAAATGTACCACCGAATACCTAGCTAGTGAAACTAGTGGGAACATTATTTCTGAAGAAAACTTAATATTATTTTTACACAATATTTAAAAAAATATATAATATCGTTTATAAACAAATGAAAAAAAAGTAAATAATTATTAAAAGTAGTTCTACGGTAAAACTGTTCACTTTCAGTAGAACTATTGAGAATGAAGGAAATCATTGGGGGAGGCCTATGTTCAGCAGTTGACGTCCTATGGCTGACATGATGATGAAACGTTCAATATACAAAACTAACACTAAATAAATTTGAAAGAATAACTACTCGCGTTATTGAACACATCTAAATTATTATTACAGAGAAGTCGTAGTGGCCCTTGCATTGACTACTTCTACTCGCTGAAGAACGTATCGTTCTGCGCGTTTCACCCCCGTGATCACCGGTATCTGGGATTCATCACAAAGCATCCAACGCTGCAACGGTTTGCGTGCCACGTCTTCCGGGGCCAGGAGTCTACTAGGCCTGTCGCCGAAGCCGTGGGGTAAGTATAAACAGTAACAATATTATCATCTTCCATTTCAGTTTAAACAAACTACCTTTGGTGATACAGAGTGTATTTAATGAAGCGTTTTACGGTCTGCGACCAGATGAAATGAACGCAACCAGCAGCTGTCAGGTTACGTTCTTTGCTCGTGCCCGCACTGTCAGATCGGATCAGAACAAAATGTGTAGAGACCGACAATGTTGTTCATACATAATGCAGGCTGCATTCACTTTGACCTGAATATAATAACATTATAGAATTATCAATAAAATAATATTGTTCAATTTATTTCTGAATATTACCAACCAAACTGTTGCTATTAAAGAGTATCAGTAGTTCGGTTCTACTTTTGAACCGATGCACTGCTACTAAAAAGTTTATAGTTTGGTTAACCGGACGAACAATCGGACTACTGGTACTGGAGGTTAATAACAACTCACGGAATTATAAATGATTTTGGACTACATTTTAAAAACCCAAGTTATTAAATCAAGCACATGGTGCATGCAAAATAGCGAAAACAATTCCCTTTCACAAAATTAACGACCTGCAACCAGATAAGTACCTAAAATGAAAAACGGCAGGTGATAAAGCGAAAAACGACAGATAACAGAGGGAAAAATGGAGGACTCCTTCATGTATTTGTGTCGGAACAGGAGTGGCGTGGTAGGATTGGTATGACAAAAACCAAAAATACGATAAACTCCAATACTGATTAATTTGTTTAAAAACATACTAAAATCCGAATAGTATCCTAGAAGGCACAAAAACCACATGGCACAAAAATAGACATAATTGTACAAGATTATGTGTGCAGGACTGTTTATTATCCGGCTAGAAAAACTGTACGGAACTATCGGAGGCCAGATAATCGATGACTGGAGTGAATGAGCGGAGTGGGCTGTACGGATGCGGTGAAACGGAGAGCGGTGGACTGTAGACTGTAGAAGCTCCGCTGACGGTGTCTCCAATCGCTGCACTACTATACTATAATCGGTGGTGGATCGTTGCCACGTCTTCGTACCTCGTGGCTTCTATACTATGTGCGGTGTGACGCTATTAAACGGTGAACACGGTGCGGTCGATGTCACACGCTGTAGGAGTCCGGTCAATACGGTATCCGAAGTCGCTATGCTATACGGTGTCCGAGGTCTATGCTGTAGTCGTTGTTCTATTCACTATCTTCACTATGCGCTCTTGAGACTCTTGCGTAGACTGTTCTTCGCTGTACTATCGGAGACTATTCTCTTCGGTTTACTTCAGAAGACTATTCACTTCGATTGATTAGAGAAGACTATGCTTGGTGCGGCCCGGCAGCCGGTTTATATACCCATAAAATCCCGCCTATTTTCTAGAATAATACGCGGTCCGCCCGTATTCGGGAATACGCAAGTACTTACTCGAACTCGCGGGAGTCGTAAACAAACTATAAGGCGTCCGGATATGAGCCTTATTTACAAATCGGCCGAACGGAACCCTAAAAAGATCAAAAGAAACCGCAGTAAATACCTATACGTACCTATAGGTATGTAATAAATCATCGGCGCTCGGCAAGTACATCAAAAGACAGAGACAGCGCGAGCGCGCAAAGGACAGCGATAGTACGCGCGCCCGCGATAACCGCCCTTACGATCTACGCGATAAGGCTCATATCCGGACGCCTTATAGTTTGTTTACGACTCCCGCGAGTTCGAGTAAGTACTTGCGTATTCCCGAATACGGGCGGACCGCGTATTATTCTAGAAAATAGGCGGGATTTTATGGGTATATAAACCGGCTGCCGGGCCGCACCAAGCATAGTCTTCTGAAGTAAACCGAAGAGAATAGTCTCCGATAGTACAGCGAAGAACAGTCTACGCAAGAGTCTCAAGAGCGCATAGTGAAGATAGTGAATAGAACAACGACTACAGCATAGACCTCGGACACCGTATAGCATAGCGACTACGGATACCGTATTGACCGGACTCCTACAGCGTGTGACATCGACCGCACCGTGTTCACCGTTTAATAGCGTCACACCGCACATAGTATAGAAGCCACGAGGTACGAAGACGTGGCAACGATCCACCACCGATTATAGTATAGTAGTGCAGCGATTGGAGACACACACCGTCCAGCGGAGCTTCTACAGTCTACAGTCCACCGCTCTCCGTTTCACCGCATCCGTACAGCCCACTCCGCTCATTCACTCCAGTCATCAGTTATCTGGCCTCCGACAGTTCCGTACAGTTTTTTGGCCGGATAAATAAACAGTCCTGCACATTTTTCTGGTCCTTCGGGCGCGCGTACTATCGCTGTCCTTTGCGCGCTCGCGCTGTCTCTGTCTTTTGATGTACTTGCCGAGCGCCGATGATTTATTACATACCTATAGGTACGTATAGGTATTTACTGCGGTTTCTTTTGATCTTTTTAGGGTTCCGTTCGGCCGATTTGTAGTCGTCCTGCACATTATGTTTAATACAATATTCAATAAAATTCTGAGTTCTCAGCTCTGATACTTTACGTTTATTGATTGGCAGGCATCAAAATACACTCGGCATCAAATAAATCGCACCTCACGCAACAAGCACTTCTCAAACGTATGCATCCCCACTTCCCACCAATATTGGCACCATTTAAAAGCCTAGTTCTAAACTTCATTTCATTAAAGGATAGGTTTTTACCCCAAAAATATGTCTGTAGAAGAATCCAGAGTCACTTCTTCAAAAAATAGGTAGTTACGCTTGAGCAAACTTTTATGCCTATAAAACTGTTAATTTGGGATTAATCGCTATCCATCTGTTAAAGAGGACATGTGTGATCATTATTTGGTTTTATAACCATAAAATTTGGTCTAATTGATCCCAGAGGTGAGCCCAAAGTGAGGTCTTTTTTCAAGTCACATTTATGGTATATTTTAATCATTTATTAAGAAATGTGTTTTTCTTTAAGGATGTTTATTGGGCTTTCAAATAACACCAATATTGTTGGGGCACCATGATTGTGTCAGAAGAAATTCTTAAAAGTTCACGTCGCGGAAGGTGCGGTTTATTTAATGTTGAGTGTATTTCTTTACGAAACCACGTTCTTGACAAATTTAAAATTAAAAAATACAAAAGTGGCCAGCAAAATAAAACAGCCAGCAAAAACAAAGAGTTTTTGTTACACGAAATGCTGCCTTATCCATCTATGTAGTAGTTCTTTACTGTTATGTTATTAAAATTGTACGAAACGCCTGCATTTAGTTATTTAAATATTATTTTTTAACAGTTATAGTGCAATCCTTCAATCGCCGATTTTAGATTTGATGATGATTTCTTAGTGTGTATTTTTTCATAAAAAATTTTGATATTACTGAAAATAAAAAACGTATGCTTACTTTTTATTTAATTTGATAGCTTATTCTTAAAAATCTGGGCAAAAGAGGGATGAGAACTTAAAAAGTATTAAAAACTTTTTTTAAGACGCCGGCAGATCATTGATCATCATTACTTATGAAACTTGAAAAACAGCCACAGACACAGAGACAGAGAAATCTAGTGTTCTGAGACACATTTAAGCAATAAGTCGAGTTTGCAGTCCATAAAGACATAAAAGATAGTTTCATAACATATTATTTTATCTTTTCAGGAGAGCTTTCCAGAGGTTTTATCAGAAGTTTATAGAGACAGCGTATCCGATTGAAGATATCTACATAGAGTAAAAATCATAATTAACAAAACATTTCACTAGCTTTTTATACTTATTTCACTTTAAAGCCACAGAGCTTAAAGGTAACTGAGAATATTATTATTTTTGAAGCATACATACTGATTCGTTGTCCCGTCTTACATTATTTTCTTCTTCTGTCTCTCAAATACTAAGCTCAGTGGCTATAAAGTTTATATGTAATTCTTCTGAACTTGTTATCGATGCTATGTCGCCTTTTCAATAGGTTATAAATTACATTGTAAACTTTTAATGATATTCAAACAATATGTACTCATAAGACATTGATTTGTCGTTACGTATATTTTCAGCCTTGAAATTTAATTACATTTTTAGCAATTGATGATAAAATTGTATTGTTATCGCATAAGATTAATGTAAAATGAAATATCTTAATGAATTAAAATTTCCACTGCTGTTTAATACTATGTAGTAATGTAATAGATTGTTATAACTATGAGTAATTTGGCATGGCTACATAGAAAAATGAATATAAATAGTACACCACATTACGAATATTGTATGATCCAAATTTTATAAAGGATGGAATTATGTAATGCCACCTGGAGGGAAAGTACTCTTCACACTGTAGATGGAACATTTTACTCAAAGAAAACATTTCTTTATTTTCGGGAATCGAACCAACTAAAATCTGTTAAAAATTACATCCTTTATTTTTATTGCATCGATCGTTAAGGTTAAGTAGGTATAAGGATGAAATCTCTAACAAAATTGATAAATCAGATGAAAGGAAAATCATGCAATTTTAAATTATTTCAATTATTTACAAAAAAATGGTATGGTGGTAAATTTTCGCAAAATTTTCGGAAATATATTTTTGCTTCTTTTTGTTTTCAAAATTAAAAGAATGTTTTCTTTGAGTAAATGTTCTATCCACAGTATTAAGAGTACTTTCCCTCCAGGTGGCATTACAAAATCTCACCCCGTATACTAAATTGAATTCAATAACTTCATGTAACTTGGTGTATTTTTATAAAAACGGCTAGAGAGCTCAATTAAAAAGACGGATTAAGATTAATGCAAAGAAGGGTAAAGCAAAGATTTCTTCATCTCAGAATTTTTAATCGGGTGTTATTGATCATTGATAATAATCAAGAATCTCTACCACTGGGATATCAATTCAAATAATTTATTCTGGTGTAAGGTATATTTTATAATAATTTCTTATTAAAAATTTTTGTTTGTAAGTTTGTATCGTCAAATTTTTTGATAATTATGTGGTTATGACGAGTATTTTTTAGTAAATCAATAACCATTACATTGCATATTATTAGATTATTATGTTAAAAGCGGTTATCAGATAGAATCAATTGTACAGAAATTCGTGTGAATTTAATGTAATATATTAGGCATTGCAGTTTCAATGTATGTATTGTATGTAGATAGGTAACCAATAGCGGTTGATTCGCTTAATCGCGATATTATTTTCGGTTGATTATACCTGCACCATTATTAAAAGTTAGATGGTAATTAAATTGTAAGTGATCATCTTTTGAGAAATAATTGTAACGGGTCACATTCATGTTCTAGATTATAAGATATTGGAGCAATATTTTGTGCCGTGTAAAGGCCATAATAATTATGTTACAATTAATGCATGTAGGTGACAGGCTTTCGTAATGTTTTAGTTTCAATTTTTTTATAAATACCATTCTGGCCATTAATATTATATCAATCGATAAAATATTATTATTCTGTTTTCTATGACTTAAAACAAAAAAAATATGAACTAACATATCTACCGATTCATAAGAGAAAGTATTTTTTTATATTCTAATTTTCTCCCTCTATAATATTTAGTAAACCCAATAAGTGGGGGCGAAATTGAAATCGTACGTAATTCATAAAATCCGGGGTTGTTGAGCATCAGTGTTGGAAAGGTTTTGATGAATGAAACAAAAAAAAAGATATTTTTATAAATAAACAATCTCAATGGCTGAAAGCACATTGCTGCAGCCTGTAAAGTTATGGTTTTGCATGAAAGTCTGTCATTTTTGAGGTAAGTAACATGAAACTGACAGTTTCGTGGAGGTAGTCCCAAGGTCTACATAAGTAACCGAGTAAGCTTATAAATCAGCAATAAATACAAACTATAGTGAGACACTAGCTATAACAATAATATTATTACTATTTTAATCCACATAGAACACCATAGTGCCCTTGAAGAAACAGTATTAGTGAAAACAAAAGGTTGTATATTCTATGACTTGTACATAGCTTAACTTTTTGGATAGGTTTTCTTTGCGTTGTTTTACTTTACATTATGCTTGTAGCCAAATCGCCTACAACGTTTAAGAACTAAGCTTTAAATATAATACTCTTGTAGTTATACACACTTACTTCTTTAAAATACTTGTATACATATTATGAGATTTATCAAAGATTGCTTGTAAGGTTAGTATGTGTATATACAAAAGTATTATCACATGAATGTGTCCCAAACTTGTAAATACAATTATTTATCTACAGCGTATTCGAAGCGAGAATGTATTCAACAAAGCTGAATAGAGCTGTGAAAGAAATAAAACTAAATATATTATTTATTTTTCCAATAATTGTCAGCATATTCGACATTATAACGCATAAGGCATTAAAATATCTGTGGGACTGAATATTTGTTTAATATAAAATTAACATTCCCGTCCTATCAAGATTTATAGTAGGTATGACCTCTTGTGAATTTGAATCTCACAATTATCTTAACGTTGTCAGCATTTCGGAAAAAATAGGGAGGTTCTGTATAACATAAAGATGCGAAGAGGATTCTAATTTGATTTATTTCACAAAGACTTGTGATTGAGATATAATTAATAAGTACTAACTTTTTCCAGCGGCTTCACCCGTGTGAAATTTTGTCATAAATCGTCATAAATTTATAGCCTATTATGTTATTCTGGGTTATAAACAATAATATTTTAAAGTTTCATAAATATTCGTTCAGCAGTTTTTGGATGAAAGAGTAACAAACATCCAGACATCCAGAAATCCAAACTTTCGCATTTATAATATTAGTAAGAAGATAAGCGTAATTTGCAGATGACAATTAATTACACTGCATTATGTTTAATCCTACATTATTGGTATATAATCATATTTCAAGGAATATCATCTTAAAGTATAAGTACATATTTTATTAAATTCACTCTGAGTTCTGATAACATGAAAAACCCATAAGGTAGGTAAATCTAAAAACTTTTTTTAAAAACAAGCTTTTATTCTAAAATGCAGTTGTACTAAAACGAAAAAAATAATAATTGTACGTACATAAAATAATTTCGATTCCTCTGTTTTCTGTTTGCGATACAAGCTTTCCAAATTATTTTAGGTAAGTACATTTTTTTGGGTTATTTTTCGTTTTTGTACAACTGCATTATAAAATAAAAGCTAGTTTAAAAAAAAGTTTGTTATTATAATTTTATTTTACACTTTTTAATTGTTCTCAATCTCCGCATTTCTTGTAATGTAACACTATTTCACGGTAGTGCTCGAAAAGACAAATCTAACGAACCCAAACTCGATGAGTTTCCGTCGTTTCGTTTAGGAGTTCCTATGGCCGCCTCCCGACTCCATCATCCGGACCCTGGTCACCATTTAGCACCAAAGTCCTCGGGTGTGCAAATCCAACGAACCCAAACTCGATTATTTTCCCCCGTTTCGTTTAGGAGTTCCTATGGCCACCTTCCGACTACATCATCAGAACCCTGGCCATCATTTAGCATCACAGTGCTCGAAAAGACAAATCGAACGAACCCAAACTCGATGCGATTCCGCCGTTTCGTTTAGGAGTTTCTATGGCCACCTCCAGACTCCATCATCAGACCAGCTCAATGGTACCATATCATTGCATTGTCATCGTACTTACATAAGTCTACCCAATTTCAGTTGCAAGATTTGTCCCACACATACTAAAACTCGGAACTGGCTTTCAAACCTGGACAACATTATCCAACTTTTCGCTCAGGTGGAATACTCCTTCCACCTGACACAAATTCTAACCGGTCACGGCTATCACCGACAATACTTACTTCGATTCAAGATAGTTGAGACCGACAAGTGTAATTGCGATCCAAATGCTGTCCAGGATATACTCCATCTACTCAAAGACTGTCCGCGTTTTATCCGGCAAAGAGTGCAACATATGGCTATATGCCAATACCTTAAAGTAAAACTTTTTGAAATATCGACGATCACCATCCAATCATTCACAGAACTATCTAAATATAATTATGGTAAATAATTTAAAAGAATACAAAAGTACTTACTTAAGAAATAATATGTACCTATGTATTTTTTTAAAGTATTGCATAAAAAAACCACTATAAAAATATTATCTTACTTATTTTAAATAATAATAAATATCCTTGGACATTTACACTGCGCTTCAAGTCTCAAACTAAGCAAAGCTTGTACCTACTATGGGTACTAGACAACGGATATAAACATACTTAAATTATGTTCTGTGTGCATGAATGTTTGTACTGTGCGGGAATCGAACCCGCTACCTCCGGAATAGTAGTCCGTTTCGAACCACTACACCAAACGGCCGACAACTTTGTTAATTTTAAATCTTGTACATAAATGTGTGTAAAGTATGGAGCCTACAAGTTTGCTTGTATATGTCAACGTGAAATTGTGAACTCTGTCAGTTTATAATATATCGCGTTAGATTGTAAACTAACAGTGGGTTACAGTCCTATCAACTTAAGCTGAGAATTGCATTTGTGTGAGTGATCGCCAAAAGTACAGTTAGTAAAACACATACAAATAAAATTAATGTTTTATTAAAAGGAACTCCATAAAACACTAGCTACCAATTGGGCCGATGTAACGACACTTGACACATCCTTTTCAATAAATAAATAAATAAAAACAGGTCCTCGCTCAGCATATGCCAATTAACAAGGCACGAAGTACCTCGACGCTGATATTCTGCGAGCACCGTTTATAGAGAGGGCGTCCAGCCAGCCTTACAAAATACAACAAAAAGACAAACAAATTTATAAAATTACAAAATAAAAACAGACTAAAAACTTTTCGTTCACACCTTTAAAATACGTATTCAATTAGCATAAAATTTCTTTCACTTGCCTGCTTAATGGTTTTCGTACAGGAAATTCACTTACAGTAGGAGCCATTTCACTAATATTTGGAACACAATTACATAAAATTACACGTCTATCTATCTGCTACCAGTACCGGGGGTGAAGTGAAGTATGTGAGCGGCAGGGAAGTGACGCGTGGCGGACGCGCCGCGCCTCAGGCCGCTTGCTATAAACTAGTATAAAC